CAGTCTTTGGCTTCAACAAAGGCGGTTTCATCATGTCCTTCTAGATAAAAAGAAAAAAAGAAAGAAAAGCTAAATTCTTGATATTCTATGTATCTTTTGGCGTTTAGTTCGTAGGAATTTGAGTCTATTTGTTAGGTAGTTTGGAATTTGAAATTATGTTTTTGGGTAGTTTGGTACCTTCATTTGAGGTAGAATGAAGCTTAAGATGACATGTCCAATGACCTAATAACTAGTTTGCCCCATTGACCACCTAGCTTGTGAGCCTATTCATGGAACACAAACTCTAGCGTGGAACTCTCTATGACCAAAAAAGGATCTTGTATCAATGTTTGAACAACCGTGGTTCCAAAACGAGAATTGCTCAATCTCGATCGGGATTGGTACAGGGCTTTTCCAATTTGAAGAACCTTGAAATTGCTCCAATGCCCCTTTTTTATTCTTTTTTTTTTTTCAGTTGTTTGGAACATGTAACTTGCGAACCAAGAGAACAAGAATAGGCTTGTGGGAATGGGGGTCAGGCACCAGGGGTATTTTTGAGATTTAAAAATTTTATTTTATTTTCATAATCATATATCTAGATGCCGAGATGATCAATTAGAGGGTTTTTCAACATTAAAACAACTATTTTCGATGGATTTTTGAGGTGTATCTTTAATTCTACATTTGAAGGTTGCAACCTTATATAAAAATTTTCCAATATATAATGAGACTATCTACCTTTGATAGAAAGGGTCACATTCAATATTGCCCATTAGATGTTAAATTGGATAGTTGCATTTATTGTTTTAACCGTGCTCAAACTTCAAAAGAAAGTTTCTCAAACTTTGTGAGACATTCAAGCTACCAAATTTCACATCGGATGATTACAAGTAATTGTGACCTCATTGTATCAAAAGTAAATAGTTTAGTTGTATATAATCCCTTATATTTTACTTTATATGATATTATTATGGAGTGAAAGATTGGGAGGTGATGGAGTGGAGTGGGTCCCAGCAACGAATCGAGTTTGGTGCATGCTCATCATCGTCCAACCCATTGTTTGGATAGTGATAAACTATTGTGATTATTGTGACCATATGGTTAAATTATTTTTTAAGAAATATGTCGAAATACACTTAATGTATTAACTATTTAATATTTTACCTATATATTTTGACTTGCAATAGTAGAAAAATGGAAAATGTTAAATAGTTGAAAAGTGATACGTATTTTGATAAATTTCCCTTATTTACCTTTTTCTAGTCTCTACAAGTTGTAGGGTTAATTTTGTTATAGGCTAGGGCTATTTTCTTTGTACTGTAGAAGTAAACCCCACCTGTAAAATTTATTTAGAGATCGTTTTTTATTCGGAAACCTTATGATAACTTGAAAATCTATTTTCATTCCTAGTTATAAAATTTTAAATTTTAAAAATAGTACTGATCGAGTAGATCAATAAATACTTGAAAGTCTTGAAAATATACGTTTTAGATATCCTGTTACGAGATGTACTATTTTTTTAAATTAAATTTTTTTTTTCTTTCACTTGATGTCCATACATCCTTGAGGTTGAGAAGATTAACTGGAGGGATCTCGAATGGAAAAGTTTATATAAGGATACAACCAGCGTTTTAAAAAACGCCGAGTCGAACCGGACTCGCCCGGTTGGACTCGGAAA